GCTGCACTTGGAACGGCAGCAGACAGAGAGCAGCTAGAGCAGCAGCAGCAGCAGCAACTAGAGCAGCAGCAGCAGCAGCAGCAGCAGGTGCATCTCCCTTGCTAGGAAGGGCCCGGGTGTCCAGACACCGGAAAAAGCCGCAACGCCGCTCATTGAATTCCCCTCTTCCCCAAATTTAAAAAATAAATAAATAAATAAATAAATAAATATATTTATTTATTTATTTAGTATTTATTTATTTTCATTTGTTTGCAGGTCCAGCATAAAGCTCTCAACAGCAGCAGCAGCACAATTCGCGCGGCAGCAGTTGGCCCACTTTCTGCGGCGAAGTCCTTACCAGGTTAATCTCCTCGTCGCCGGCTACGACCAGGTCAGCCTGGCTAGCTAGCTAGCTAGCTAGCTAGCTAGCTAGCTGGCTGGCTGGCTAGCTAGCTGGCTGGCTGGCTAGCTAGCTAGCTGCGTGTGTGTGGCTAGCTAGTTGGCTAGCTAGCTAGCTAGCTGTGTGGGTGTAGCTACTAGCTAGCTGACTAGCTATGTATGTGTAGCTAGCTAGCTGTATGTGTGTAGCTAGCTAGCTAGCTAGCTAGCTAGCTAGCTAGCTAGCTAGCTAGCTGGATGGATATACGTAGCTAGCTAGCTAGCCAGCTGGCTGGCTAGGTGGATATATATATATAGCTAGCCAGCCTGATATATGGCTAGCTATATAGCAACATATATATACAGCTAGCTGTATGGCTAGCTAGCTAACTGGCTAGCTAGCTAATTGGCTAGCTAGATAACTGGCTAGCTGGATAGCTAGCTTGATAGACGAATAGATATAGATAGCTCGGTAGCTAGCCACTTGCCTAGCTAGCTAGCTAGCTAGCTAGCTAGCTGGCTGCCTAGCTGGATGGTTCGGTAGTTGATTGGCCAGCTGATTACCTGGCTAGCTAGCTAGCTAGCTAGCTACCTAGCTAGCTAGCTAGCTAGCTGAATAGCTAGCTAGCTAGCAGGTCAGCTAGGCACATGAAACAGGGAGCGAGCCAGCTAGCCGAGACCAGGTAGCGAGCTAGCCAGCTAGAATAGTAGCTAGCTAGCTATTTAGCTAGCTGGCTATTTAGCTAGCTAGCTAGCTAGCTAGCTATTTAGCTAGCTAGCTAGCTATTTAGCTAGCTAGCTAGCCACCTAAATAGCTAGCCAGCTAGCTAAATAGCCTAGCTGGCTACTCTTCTGCTGTAGAGGAAGTTGTCGGCAGTCGATGCCATTTGGAGTGCATTTGGACGATTGGGGTGCAGCAGCAACAGCAGCAGCAACAGCAGCAGCAACAGCAGCAGCAACAGCAGCAGCAGCAGCAGCGAGGTCTGTAATAGGCATTCGGCAGGAAAGGAAGGCATTTCTTTTATTCATTTTAAATTTGATAAGAGAATTAGCTGCTTCTTCTGCAGCAGCAGTTTTCTCCTGATTTGCGTCATTTGCTGCTGCTGCTATTATTGGTGCTGCTGCCATTATCGCTGCTGCTGCTGCTGCTATTATTATCGCTGCTGCTGCTGCCACTACTACAGTTGTCGCTGCTGCTGTAACCGTTGCTGCTGCAGTTGTTTCTGCCGCTATTGCCGCCTCCCAGCTGCTGCAAGTGCCGCTGCTGCTGCTGCTGCAGTTCTCGCTGCTGCTGCTGCTGCTGCTGCTGCTGCGCAGGACGGGGCGTCGCTGTACTGGGTGGACTACTTGGCGAGCTCCGTGGCCGTGCGGAAGGGGGCGCACGGGTACGGGGCGTACTTCGTGGAGGGGCTGCTGGATCGGTGGTATAGAGAGGACTTGAGCGAAGAAGAAGCTTTGGAAGTGTTGAAGAAATGCAAAAAGGAACTTTCCTGTCGTTTTCTGGTCTCTCAAAGCGACTTCGTCGTGAAGATCGTCGACAAGAACGGAGTCCGCCAGGTCGAAATCTGAGACTTGCAAACTCCCGAAAACGGGGCTCCGCCGCGCCGCAGCAGCAAATAAACCTCCGCAAACCCCAAATAATGCACAAATGCTCCAAATGCCACTTCAAATTCCCAAAAACTGCCCCAAATTGCGAAAAATTCGAACTTGAACTTCCGCGGCCTCCTCAGGTGTACAGACACCGCGGCCGCGCCGCGCCAGCCAGTTCAAGTTCAAGTTCTGCACTTTTACAAATCTGGGGAAAAAGTGTCCGGAAATCGCCGGAAAAAGGGAACTTTGAGTTTGTTTCTCTTTTCATTTCTTATTGTTCAAAGCATTTCCTCGTTTGCTGCTGCTTTGCTGCTGCTGCCGCCGCGAAAGCCCCCGTTTCCGCCCAGACCAATTCAAGTCCACCCGCGCTCTGTAAGACAACTTGAATCCATTTCGTTTCCAAGTCCCAATTTAAGTTGTTATTCTTTTATTACTATCATTATTGTCATTATTATTATTATTATTACTTATTAATTATATTAATGACTGCAGCAGCAGCTTACAAGTCAACTCCTCTTTTGCATTCAATTTCAAGTTTGCTTCTTTCCTAGTGAGCCTCCTGCTGCAGCAGCAGCAGCAGCAGCAAACTGCCTCGGAGCCAAACAAGAACCAAACAAAAGAATTAACAAATACAGATTCAGTACGCAGCAGCAGCGCTGCAGCAGCAGCGCTGCAGCAGCAGCGCTGCAGCAGCAGCGCTGCAGCAGCAGCAACAAAAAGGCGAAGAAAGGCCCCTGCAGCAGCTCAGCACAGCAGGCCGCAGCCCACCAGCTGCGAGCCAAACTCAGAGGGCCAATCTGCTGCTGCTGCAGCAGCGGAGTCTGCTGTTGCTGCTGCTGCTGCTGCCGGGGTTGCAGAAGCAGCAGCAGCAGTGGGAAGCGCGTGCGCTTCCGAAGCAGCAGCAGCAGCAGCTGGTGCAGCAGCAGCAGTTGGTCGCTCCCCTTCTGGGGTAGACAGCGGCTCTCGCTTAAGCCGCTTCTGCTGCTGCTGCACCTGCTGGCCCGACGGGGCCGCAGAAGCTGCTGCTGCCGTTGCTGCTGCTGTTGCTGCTGCAGTTTCTGCTGCTTCTGTTGCTGCTGTTGTTGCTTCGGGCGCTTCGGTGTTCCTGCGCGTTGCCTTCGCTGTTGCTGGCACTCCAGCAACTGCAGCAGCAGCAGCAGCAGCAGCAGCAGCAGCATTTGGTGCGCTTGTGGCCATGGAGCTGACAGCACTGCTGCTGCTGCTGCTGCTGCTGCTGTCGCCGAAGCCACAGGGAGTCTCTGCTCTCTTTTCGCTGTCCCCCAAATGCGATTGCGTCAACACGTCTGGCGTGCTGCTCTGCGCGATAGACTCAGTAGGAGCTGCTGCTGCTGCTGCTGCTTCTGCTGCTTCTGCTGCTGCTGCTGCTGCTGCACCGACTCCCTGCTCCTGCTGCTCCTGCAGGAGGCGCAGCAGAGAAGCAGAAAAGACCTGCTCCTTATCTCTCCCGTCTTGGCTCGCCTCACACGCAAAGGCATAAGCCGAGCTCAGCTGCTGCTGCTGCTGCTGCTGCTGCTGCTGCTGCAGCTGCTCTTCTGATGAAGCCGGCGCCTCCTGCTGCATCTGCTGCAGCAGCGCGTGCTGGCTCGCGGCTAGCTGCTGCCCCAAAAGCAGCGGCAGCAAGTCCGCCCCCTCTGGCAACAGCTGCAGCTGCTGCAGTTGCTGCAGCTGCTCCAGCTGCTGCTGCTGCTGCTGCTGCTGCTGCTCCGGCGGCGGCTTGCCGTCTTCTCTCTTTAGAGACCCCAAGAGGCCCAAAAGAGATTGGAGAGAGCCAAGGATGTCTTCTTGAGGACTCAGCAGCTGCTGCTGCGGGCTTTGCTGCTGCTGCTGCTGCTGTAGCTGCTGCAGCAGCAGCTGCTGCTGCTCAACAGCAGTGAGCACGTCCAGCAGCAAGTCGCCCTCCTTAGCCTGCTGCTTCTCCCCCTGCCCTGCTGCTGCTGCTGCTGCAGCAGCAGCGTCGAGGGCCCCTGCTTCTGCCTTTGGCAGTATATCAAAGGCAGCAGCATTCAAGCACAGTGGCGCTGCTGCTGCTGCTGCTGCTGCTGCTGCTGCTGGCGGCAAGCTCTGCTGCGCCGCCTCTACTCCCCTGGGTGACCCCACAACTCGCCCTGGCTGGCTGCCCCCCAGCAGCTCTGCGTAGTTAACTTCAGGGCTGTCGTAGAGAGACTTTAGCTGCTGCTGCTGCTGCTGCTGCTGCTGCTGCTGCTGCTGCTGCTGCTGCTGCTGGCTTACTGCAGCAGCAGCAGCAGCAGCAGCAGCGGTGGAACCGGCGTCTGCGCCACTCAGCAGCTTCAAAAGAGCAGCACAAGGGTCCTGGCTGGCCAGCTGCTGCAGCAGCAACAGTGCGGGGGCCTTTGCCGCCGCGTCACCGTGCTGCTGCTGCTGCAGCTGCTGCTGCTGCTGCTGCAGCTCGGACCTGGCAGACAGCAGACTGAGCGCTGCCAAGTCGAGTGCTGTTTGTGGCCTTGATGGAATTGCAGCAGCAGCAGCTGCTGCTGCTGCTGCCGTTGCATCGGATGATGCTGCTGCTGTCTGCTGCTGCTGCTGCTGCCGCTGCGTGCGGTAGACGGCGGAAAGCAGCTGCAGCGGCGCTGCTGCTGCTGCTGCTGCTGCTGAACCCTCTGGATTATCCTGAGGCAAAGTCGGGCTGAGGGGCAGCAGCGAGGCAGCAGCTTGCGTCTGCAAACTCGCAGCAGCAGCAGCAGCAGCAGCTGCGGAAGCAGCATTAGCTGCTCTTCGCTCGGGCAGGGCGAGTTGCTGCTGCTGCTGCTGCTGCTGCAGCCTGTTCCTCTTCTGAGCCTTTCTGCTGCCCGCCGTTTTCGCGCCAAGTGCGGCTCCCCCCGCAGCGGCGGCAGCCGCAGCAGCAGCCGCTGCAGCCGGCTGCTGCTGCTGCTGCTGCTGCTGCTGCTGCTGCAGATGCGTCAGCAGCAGCGCAGCAGCACAGCCACCGTTGGCCGAAGCATTTGTCAAGCGGCTGCGGGAATATGGAGAAGCAAAAAAGGGAGGCAGCTTTCCAGTGTCCAGCATGAAGGCCCGGGCTTCTCTTGCTGCTTCCCAGGCCCCCGAGGGGCCCCACTTCTGCAGCAGCAGCAGCAGCAGCAGCAGCGGCAGCAGCGGCGAAAGCGGTGGCAGCAGCGGCGGCGGAAGAAGGGCAGGAGGAGGCAGTGGAGGGACAGCAGCAGCAGCGGCAACGGCAGAGGCAGCAGCAGCAGCACAGCAGCAGCAGCACAGCAGCAGCAGCAGCACAGCAGCAGCAGCAAGAAATAAATTTCATTTGTAGTTCAATCAACATGCATGGGGGGTTTTGTGGCTGCTGCTGCACTGAAAAGAAAACCTTTAAAGTGAGTTAAATAAGGCACCTTTTTTTATTATTTATCTATTTATTTTATTTATTATTTATTTATTATTTATTTATTTCTTTTTATTTCTCTTTGATTAATTGGGAAGCTGCCTTCACTGCAGCAAAGCCAAACGCCGAGGGTTTAGGGTTTAGGGTTTACGAACAGGCAAATGAACCCTCAGCAAATAAATAAAAATAAATAAAGTATTTAAATAAATAAAGAACTATTAATTAAATCAAATAGACTAAATTAATTAAATTAAATTAATTAAATAAATTAAAATAAATAAAACTTACCGTTAAAGAAAAAGACTTCTGGTGTCTGCCGCAATAAGGCCCCGACAAAATACGATAAACCAAACGCACTTCCTGAGCAGCAGCAGCAGCACAGCAGCAGCAGCAGCAGCAGCAGCAGCAGCACAGCAGCACAGGAGGAGCAGCGGCAGCATGAGCAGTAGTGGTTGCCGCAGCAGTAGAAACCGAAGCAACAGCAGCAGCAGCAGCAGCAGCGCAGCAGCAACGCCCGCAGCAGGAGCAGCAGCAAGAAAAGCAGCAGCAGCAGGAACAGCAGCAGCAGCAACAGCAGCAGCAGCAACAGCCGCAGCAACAGCAGCAGCGGGTGAAGAAAAGCAGAAGCAAAAGAACACAAAAACGGGAAATTAAAAAACAAAAAAGACAAAAAAGAAATTAAATAAAAATCAAAAACCGAAATTCCAAAATAAATAAATAAGAAAATAAAATGGAATGAAAAGAATTCAAGGGAGAATTAGAAAGAGAATTAAAAAAGGAGTAAAAGAATATAATTGAACATTAAATTATATTAATTAAATTAAATTAATTAAATTAACTAAATTAATTAAATTAAATTAAATTAATTAAAATTAATTAATTAAATTAATTAAATTAAATAATTAAATCTGACCTTTTTGTTTCCCGGCTGGTAAATGTGTCCGGGCTGGACATCTTCGACTTCATTCATTTTGTCGGAAGCAAAAAATAAATAAAAATAAAATAAAATAAAATAAATAAAAATAAATAAAAGGATTTAAAGCAGCAGCAGCAGCACACTGTGCTGCAGCGAGGAACTGCGGAGAAAAAGCGTCAAAAAGATACCGCCAGACACGCAGCAGCAGCAGCAGCAGCAGCAGCGCGGCAGCAGCAGCAGCAGCAGCTCGGGGCTCCCGCTGCAGGCAGTGCTGCTGCTGCTGCAGCTGCTGCTGCTGCTGCAAGGTCCAGGCGCGGCCTGGAAGGCCGTGGCAGATGGAGGCGATGCTGCTGCTGCTGCTGCTGTTGCTACTGCTGCTGCTGCTGCTGCTGCTTCTGCCGCTTCCGCCGCTGTTAGCGAGCGGTCGCTGCTGCGACGTTTTGCTGCTGCTGCTGCTGCTCAGTTTGGGGTGTATAGACAGCGGAGTTGACGGTTATCCGCGGGAGCACCAGCAGCAGCAGCAGCAGCAGCAGCAGGGCGGCGGGGGTGCTGCTGCTGCTGCTGCTGCAGGGTCTTGCGTCTGTCTGCAGCAGCGAAGATGCGCGAAGCGGCGGAGCAGCAGCAACACCTGCAGCAGCAGCAGCAGCAGCAGCGGTGTCTGCTGAGGTGTAGAGACAGCCGAAAGACAACCGCGAGCGAGAGCTAGGGGCCCCAGCAGCAGCAGCAAATGAGTTTGCTGCTGCTGCTGCTGGAGTGAAGAAGAAGCAGCAAATGAATAAATTAAATTCAAAACGAAATAAGGCGGCTAGGCAAAAGAGCAACAAGGGGACCCAGTGGGGCAGCTGCTGCTGCTGCTGCTGCTGCTGCTGCTGACAGCAACAGCTCAGCCAGGGCTGCTGCGCGCACGCTGCTGCAGCAAAACCCTGCTGCTTTTTATTATTTTCTTTTTTTAATTTAATTTATTTACTCCTTTTTACTCTAATTGACATTTTATAAAAGCAAACAACGCAGCTTCCTAGCCGGTCGCGAGGCCGCTTCCGCTGCAGGCCTACCAGCAGCAGCAGCAGCAGCAGCAGCAGCAACCGACACAGCCAGCCACCTGCAGCCAGCTTTTTTGCTGCTGTCTTTACCTCTAAATTATTTTTTTAAATTAACCCTCAAAAAGGGAAGGCCGAAGGAGCCAATGAGAAGCAACAAAGCAGCAGCAGCAGCAGCAGCTGCTGCTGCTGCTGCTGCTGCAGCTGCTGCAGCTGCTGCAGCAGCAGGTGGTGATCTGTGGTGTATACATAGCGACAGCAGCTAATTACTGCGGAAGGCCGTCTTGTGCTGCTTTCTGTTTCATTTTAAAAATGAATTTAATTTAGTTCAATTAATTTAATTAAATTAATTTAATTTACTTAATTTAATTAATTTAATTAATTTAATTTACTTCCATCAAATCCACCTCTTCAGAAAACCACTCTAGACACCTGCTGCTTCCCCTTCAATTCAGTCTCTCCTTTTCTCATCTACTGCTGCTGCTGTTGCCGCTGCTGTTGCTGCTGCTGTTGCTGCTGCTGTTGCTGCTGCTGCTGTTGCTGCCGCCGCTGTCACTGCTGCTGCTGCTGCCGACGCTCCCACAGTTGCTGCTGTTGTTGAAACTGCTGCTGCTGCTCCTGCTCCAGTAGCTGCAGCTGCTATTGCCGGTGCTGCTGCTGCAGTTGCTGCTGCTGCAGTTGCTGCTGCTGCTGTTGCTGCTGCTGTAGTTGCTGCTGCTGTAGTTGCTGCTGCTGTAGTTGCTGCTGCTGCGGTTCTCTTCCACAGACACCCGAAGAGGCCATTGAGGCTGAACTGAAGACAAAAACTAAACCCTAAACCCTAAACCCTAAACCCTAGACTCTGAGCGCTGTATGCCAAACAAACGCTAAACCCTAAACCCTAAACCCTAAACCCTAGGTAAACCCTCAAAATGGGGAGAGTCGTCAGCGTTGACTTCATGCATACTAGCTAGCCAGCTATTTGGCTAGCTAGCTAGCCAGCTGGATAGCTAGCTAGCTAGCTAGCTAGTTATTTAGCGAGCTAGCCAGCTATCTGTCTAGCTAGCTAGCTTTCTGTCAACTTCTCCGGATAGCTAGCTAGCTAACTAACTAGCTAGCTAGCTAGCTTTCTGTCTATATCTGTCTGGCTAGCTAGCTAGCTAGCCAGCTGTCCGTCTTGGCTAGCTGGCTAGCTAGCTAGCTAGCTATGTGTATGTCTTTGCTGCCTAGCTATCTGTCTTTCTTAGCTAGCTATCTATCTGTCCGGTCAGCTAGCTACTTTGCTGACTAGCTAGCTGGCTAGCTAGCTAGCTGTCTAGCTAGCTAGCCGTCTAGTTAGCTAGCCGTCTTTCCAGCTGGCTACCTGCTAGCTAGCTATCTGTCTAGCTCTCTGTCTGTCTAGCTAGCTAGCTAGCTGTCTAGCTAGCTAGCTCTGCCCAGCTAGCTAGCCAGCCAGCTATGTGGCTAGTTAGCCAGTTGCCTAGCCAACTAGCTAGCTAGCTAGCTAGCTAGCTAGCTGTCTGTGTAGCTAGCTAGGCAGTTAATTAAAAGGAGTTGAGAAAGAAAGGAAAAGAAGCGGCAGAGGGAGTTGGGCGCATTAACTGCAGAAAAGATTTCAGAAAAAACAATTTAAATTAATTATTTAAATAATTAATTATAATAATTTTAGTTTTGAATTCCTTTTTTCGGCGTTAATTCTGGTTTTGCATTTTCTTTTTTGAGAGAACTCTTTGGATTTCATAAGTGCTTCTTTTGCTGCTGGCTTTCTTCGCTTTTGCTGCGCTGCAGCTGCTGGGCAATTCGGTTTTGCTGCTGCTGCTGCAGCACTTCGAGGCGGCGGAAGAGCCGCGCGAGAGGGCCCTGAGGAGTTCGGAAAGTGGAATCAGTTGAACATTTGCCATTTAATTTGATTTAATTCCATTTAATTTAAATTAATTCAAATTAATTTAAATTAATTTAAATTAATTTGATTTAATTTAATTAATTCCACAAAAATAAAAAGAAAATCCAAAAAAATGACCGAAAATCCAAAAAACCCGAAAAAGCGAAACGCGCATGCACGCTCCGGTGTACTTACACCTCAAATGAGGACAAGGAGTTTCATTTTAGATTTGAGGGAGAAAATGAAATAAAATGGAATAAAATGAATTAAAACAATTAAAATAAATAAAATGAAATGAAATGAAATGAAATAAATCAAATAAAAGCTTTAATGACGGATTCATTTGAAATGCTTTTGGCCAACTGAAGTCGCGCAGGAACTCCCGGGTGTACGTACACCCCAACACCTTCGCAGGGAATTCGAAAAATTAAAATTTGAAAAAAGTTTAAGACAGAAAAAGGGAAATGAAGAAGAGATTAAAAGATATAAATAACAAGAAAGATAAGGGAAAATAATTAAAGATTAAAATAAAAGAAAAAGACCAAAAAAGACAAGAAGATTCGAGAAACGACAAAAAAGACCAAATGATAATTTGAAGAAACAAAAAGAGGCACAAATAACGCAAAAAAAGGAAACAAAAATGCGACAAAAAGGATTCAAATAGGAAATAAAAAGACAAGTAAAGAAACAAAAAAGAAACAAAAAAGAAATCAAAAAGAAATAGAAAGTAATAAAAAGAAATAAAAAGAAACAAAATGAAGGGAAATAAAAACAAAAACAATTTAACATTTTGATTCTTACGGTCCTTCTTTTTGCTGCTTCCACTTCTTCCTGGGAAGGAGGCGGAGGCTCTAAAGGGCTGAAATAAAAAATAAATAAATAAATTAATTAATTAATTAATTAATTAATTAAAATAAATAAATAAAATAATGATAAATAAATAATAAATGGGTGTAATAAATGGAGAGATACTGTCCTTAATGAGAACAAAGAACAGCAGCAGCAGCAGCAGCAGCAGCAGCAGCAGCAGTTGTTCTGTCCATCCAGCAGAACGTCAAAGTTCGGGAAAAGAAAAGAGGAAAATGAAACATAGAAAAGGAGAAGCAAATGGCGAAGAAGCAGCAGCTGAGGAGCTGCAAAACCCTAAACCCTTTTTTAGGGTTTACCTGCAGGGAAACCCTAGAGCCCATTTCAGAAGATTCTTTTTCGAAGAAGCTCCACAAATAAAAAAACCCGAATTCAAATTGTAGTAAAAAGGAAGCCCTCCGCAGCGGCCCTTGTCCACGCGCTGCAGCAGCTGCAGCAGCAGCAGCAGCAGCAGCAGCAGCAGCAAACCCTAAACCCTAAAGCCTAAACCCTTGCCCCCGCCTGGAGGCCCGCACACGGGTCGCTAATTTAGGGTTTAGCCATTCGACGAGAAAATACCTCACCTACGGGGGGCTAAAGTCTAGGGCTTAGGCTTTAGGGTTTAGGGTTTAGGGTTTAGGGTTTACTTCGTAGTTGAGCTTATTCTTCCAGACCTCCAGCCGATATATCTTCTCCCCTGTCTCCTCTTCAACCTCACGCATGATCTCCTCCATTCGCTGCAGCAGCAGCAGCAGCAACAGAAGCAGCAGCA